ATTATTATTATTATTATTAGCAGAGCAAATTAATAAAGAAATAAAAAAATATACTTTTTCTAAAAACAAATCAAGATAAGGTCTTTTATAAACGTAATAAATTTCATTTATTTCGGTAGAATTCCAATAAGTAGTGGAGGTGATTGTGAAAGATTCTGGTGCTAGTTTTTTTTTTCTAGTAGCAAAAATTATTGTTTTATCAAGATCCAAAACGAGAGTTTTCTTTTCCATCATAAAATATTGTTGTTTATTATAATAAAAAAGGTATTTGTAATAATATTTTAATACTTGTTTTATTTAAACAATAGCAGATAAAAATAATGGTGTGAATTTTTGTTTACCAGTTTTTCACAGCATAGTAGACTTTCGATTCGTGTAACGTGACTACTGAAAATTTTTGCCGATCACAATTCATAATAGATACAAACGTAGAATTATAACAGTAAAAATAACACTAGTAAATTTTTTATTTTGGCATCACATGCCTCGTATCCTTCTAATAAAGATCAATCTTTATTAATAATCATAAAATTCAAGTCCATATTAATATAATATTTTTTTTAGATGTTCAGGTAAACAAAAGTTAATGAATCTTATCTTTATTTACAAGTATATGAATTAACAACTAAAAGAGGAACTATCAAATTAGAAAAAATGAAATAGATGACTTGACCAACTTTCTATTGAAATCATAATATAAAAAAACCTACATCAATATATCATACAAGAAAAAAATTCTATATCATCTGGGAAGGTTTCTGGTTCACTACTAATGAATACCAATGTTAATTCTATTCCTCCTACTGTTTGATTTTCTGATTGCCCTGGATTTCGAATGACATTATCAAGAGATATTCTTATGTTATTAGCTAATAAATATGAACCATCTTCACTTCTTTGAATTGACCTATGATCACACAGAGCAGTGGAAATGAGAATGAGGTATATAAATGCGAAACAAAATCACTTCCTTCTGAAACAATTAGAGAAATCATGCAACTTACAGTCCAATAGATTCTCCTTGATTTAGTGTTCTGTCAACTATTCTATTATCACCCCATCATGAACTAGTATTATCTTAATATTAAGGAAATCTCCACCATATTCTTTAATATTGTTAATGGGTAATGCCTGCTTGTATACAATTGTTTAAACATTGTGATCATTAGATGGATTTTCTTCAATAATATGAACAGAATAAATAAAAATAGATAATCACATTATAAATATATATCCCATTTCATTATGTGTTTAACCTGTAAATATAGTAATAACATAATAGATATTATTATTATGATCTTTTAGAAATGTCTAACAGTGTGAAGAATATTATGAAAGAGGGTTGATAAAACATTAAAAAAAAAAAACTAAATAATGTTAATAAGCTTACCACAAGTGTAAGGGAAGGAAATGTGATTTATTAATCTCAACAGTTCATATAAAATATTGACAATGTAAAAGATCAGTAGTATTGTATAATAACAAAGTAAATTATAATAATAAAAATATAATAAAAACGTTAACAAGGGTACCTAAAATCATAATTTCAGAAAGCTCCATGAAGATAAGGCTCCGAACGAATCAATGAAATTCGAACCAATTCGAACCAATTTGAATTTGAATTGAATCAAATCACTTAATTTTTGATTCATTTCATTCAAATCGAATTCGAATTGAATCAAATTGTACTTTGATTTGATTCAATTCGATTCAAATGGATTCGAATATATAATTTGATTCAAACAGATTCGAATTCGGATTGATTTGATTCAATTCGAACAGATTCAAATATATAATTTGATTCAAATGGATTCAAAATTCGAATAAATATCATATCAAGAAGAATTTTATTATCATTAAACCATTCCTAGACCTCAATCCATTAGTATTCATTAAATGGAGGCACATTAATTGAGATTCACTGTGTAATATAAATTTAAATTATCAAATTAAAAATATAAATTTAATATGATGTTAAAAAAATTTTAGGGAATCCAGTTAGATTCAAATCAATTTGAATCAAGTCACAAATCGAATCAAATCGAATCCTGTTTTTTTGAATTTGAATCAAATCGAATTGACTACAGATCATGTAACAATTTAAATGATTATTGATTGATAATAAATAGACTAACTTATTTATATTATATTTTCATCTATTTATATTTTATCAATCTGTGTAATCTTAATTAATATATATAATGAACATTTTATGAAATAATAAAATAATAATTATCTCCGCACACAAAATAAAAGTATTTTTTTGTTGTAAAAGTGTTTTAAATTCGTTTTTAAAAAAGTAATTCTTACAGATCAAATCAAATCAAATCAAATCACTCTCAAATTCGATTTGATTCAATTCATTTGGAGACTTACATGCAGATTTACTGTCGTCAACCTATAAACTTTGCTTCTTGTTCATCTCTGCAACTGAACTTGATGGACTTGATGGGAAAGAACTTTCAGTATATAAAGCACCCAAAGAATGTTTATGCAAAGTTTCATGCATATTTGTTTGTGGAATTTTTATGTCACATTAATGAGTATTTTAAAGTACTTTTTCAATTAATTTTGTTAGTTGTAGAATATAAATATGATCATCACTTTATGTCACATTTAGTGTTAAAATCGAAAGTCCACTATGCTGTTTTTCACATGTGGTATATGTGATCTACATAATTTGTATTATTTTAAGCAGAATTTGTTGAATAAAACCTTACATAAGCACCTGTTAGTTTCAAAAAATTTTCAGCAAGATTTTGACAAATGGAGGGAAAAGAATTAAAAATCCCAGAGTAAGCAATATCAATTAATACAAGAATTGCAAACCGTCTTTGAACAAACCATTTGAATGGATACCTTATTATAGACTTACAGACCTTAAATATCTTGCAGGTGGGGATTTGATATTGTGTATAAAGCAAAATAGTTTGATGGACATATTCAGTATTGGGATATTGGGATGCTGGATATTGGTTTATTAATTAGAGAAGATGTTGTTATGAAATGATAATGCTTGCCTTTAAAGATTCTTAACAAAATAATACAAGGTAAATGATAATTTATTCATCCATTATATTATATATTGGATAAGAATTAGAGGATTTACTATTTAAAAATTTAGTATACAATTTATTACAAGTCATGAAATTTTTTTTAATTATTATATGGGGGAGGTAGAGGTAGAGTTCCTTTTTTTTTGGTACAGGACATACTAAAGAAAAAATCCACTCACTATATGCAAACAAATTACCATTTTCCACAGACCCACTATAATAATTTTATTCAAGAAGAAATTGGATGCAGGAATAATTAAAGAACCAGCATGTAGTTGGGCTTCACCCATTGTGGTAGTAAAGAAGAAGAATAGCATATGTGGATTACAGGAAGTAATCATTACACTGAACAAGTCAAATATCCCTATCTTTAATTTCTGATATCTTTGACTCATTAGAAAGAGCTAGGTGGTTTACATCACTAGATTTAGCTAGTGGTTATTGGCAAATAGAAGTAGCTGAAGAAGACAGGAAGAAAACAGCTGTTATTTCTAAAATGGATTATATGGGGCATACTGCAACAAAACCAGACAAAGATTTCAGGGATCAAAATTTAATTATTATCATCACAATTAGTTTTATAATGTCCTATTTGTTAAGTGATATATATAAAAATAGTTAATATAAAATTAATTTACATCAGATCTACTATGGAACCCAAAAATTATAGCACCATCAAAAAGTATTTTGAAGAAAGGACAAGGAGAAAAATTTGCTTTTTATATTTTCAAAATAAATGATACTCAGACACTGGAAACTTATCTAAGAAAAGAAAAGATTACTTATGAAATTTACCAAGAAGTAAGGAAAACAATAAAAAGAAAGCAGAATAAAGGAACAGGAGAGACTGTTCTGGGAACACAAAATTTTAATCCATGCCATTTGTTAATTGACCAATTAAAATCACTAATTTGATAAACATAGAAATAAATATGGTTTGATTCATTTTGTCAACAATCACTTCCATCAGGAAAATGGGTACAAATATTATGCGTATATAATATGCAATTGAAGGGATTAAGCATATAATATATGTACAATTTGCATACATAAAAAAATACACAATTTGTATGCATATTATATGCTTAATCCCTCCAATTGTGTATTATATACGCATAATATTTGTACCCATTTTCCTGATGGCCTCACCAACAATTGTTTCGTTAAAGAATTTAAGAAGTTGGAAGCAACCATTGAAATAGTCTAATAAATTAAATTGTACTACTTGAAAATGTATTTAAAAGGTTGGTTTTTGACTTGGTCAAAGAATAACTCTCTTCCTAACTCTTCTCTTGACCATATCTCTTGATATAATCAAAATAACTTTAATATAATGGATGTCAATGAAATGATTGTAAACACAACAAATTTAAGATGCATGATTGTGACAAAAAATGAACAATGTATGAAAAATCAATTCATCTGTTGCTGATTCAACATTGCCTGGATCATCATCAACTGTATTTTCATTATTTTTGGTAAATTCATTTTCATTTAATATTTTTCATCATACTTTAAGTGTGTTGACATTTTTTTTGATTTCAACTTGAAGATAGTCCAAGATATCAAACATTTAGATTGACACCTTTGTAGACAATGATTGTGATAAATGGGTACACTACAATTATTCAAATTAGTATAGTTAGTGTAATCACATTATACATAATTGCAAAAAATGTTTTTAGATGGTTTCCTAGAAGTAACAAAGTTTTAGTAATTAAAGGATACTGATTGTCTCTGGACATGAATCTATGATAATCATCAACATTCAACAAGAATGTATTTTTTGAATATTTTGTAAGTGCATTCTTTACATATTTCTCATGTTCATCTTCAACTTGCTTCTTTTTATGATCTACTGCTTTTGATGTTGTAGTTACTCCAAGACTTGTATCTACTGAGTCTAAATAAAATGCAAGGTTGAACTTAAAAGAGTTAATTTTTGTATTATTTAAAACAAAAAGATGACACATGAACACTAAAATGGCTGAGCTGCTAAATAGAGTTGGTCAAAAAACCCCTTCAAGCTTGGTTCTATTTCTTGTAGCAACCTTTGTACTTCATCAAAATTGTATATAGGACCTTGATGGCTCTAGTGAAATCAATCTTTTCATTTACCTCTTCCTCTTCCTCTTCAGCATCTGTGGTTTTTACTCTCCTAGGTTCTCTTTTTAAAAGATTTTCTACAAAATTCATATAACAAATGTTACATAA